TTTCGTAGCCAATTCGAACAAATATATCAGCTACACTTTCGCACCCACCTAATCTCTATACATGCAGACACATTACAGGTTGGCATGCAACAATTATGATTAGAAGCGTGCCAGCCATGGGCTGCCCTGTGTTTTTGCCTACACACGCGAGTATTCACTGATTCAGACTCCAGGGTGCTATAGACAGACTGCTTTAGAAAATAATATGATTTAAGGAGCGTGAACCTTGTTCAACAAACATTTGCATTTGCAATTAAACTGTGCAACTGTAGCCTCACATTCACACAGATATGGGCTCTAATAATAGCAAAAGCAGTTCAGTCCTTTGTTAACAGTCAACAAATCAATGTTTAACCCTCCTCTTGAGGTCAAAAGGTATGCCGACACTTACTCTTTGGCATGTCAGCGGAAAGTACATTCATGGGTCCTTTCAATAAAGCCAATAAAAATGGTAGGTCACCGCTGAAAACAAAAAAGTTTTTCAATCGCTCCGTCAGACCATGTCCTCAGAAAATGTCTAAAAATCTGCCCTGTGCGCCACATTGACCTTATGACGACTGTGATCCTTCTAATGTTTCGGCACAGTGATGGCTTTTCCTACCATGATGCTATACACGCGACTATCACGAGCCTAGGTCGAGCCGTTTAGAATTCGTGCCGCAATTCTGTATTTCCTCCTATACCTAAGTTAAGGAGAGAATGTTCCCTTCTTTTACACCTCTTGACCTTTGACCTTGACCCCCAGCTTCGCCATCCCAACTCGTTTTCGGATTACGCCCCCACGTCCCGAATATTCGTGACGTACGTCGAGCGTTAAGATTTGCGCCAACTGTTGACGCACGGACGCACGGGACGCAACGGGGCGCACGCTCATGCGATTTCTACAAGCTGCATTCTGACTGCAGATGAGCCGTAAAAAAGTGGACGTGGCTCCAATGTAGGTCAACTGGCGTCTCCAAAATAGGACGTTCAAAACCCTCCCATAGGAGTAACAACTATAGTGCAATTTGAAACATGTGGGTCAACGGTTCGAGTTATCGTTGACCCGTAGCCAAATCTTGACGGACGAACGACGGACACGACACCGCATATGCGCAATAGCGCTTCATCTTGACGATGTCAAGCTGAGCTAAAAACTAGGTCTCCCGAACGGAATTTCCCAGTCCCACGTTTCTCTTGCTGCGTCCCTACCTGAACATGTTCAGTTAATCAGTGCTGCCACACCATCAAGCAAACACTGCAGGAATGTGGCAACCTCCTCGTACTATTGCTTTGTGGCCTTCACCAACCCCCGTATTCAACCCTACCACTCCCTTGTGATTTTTTTTAGAGAAAACACTGTGTAATCTCGCTTATGATTTTGTATATAATAAAAAAGTATGTTTATTTTTCTGCAACTAAAATGCTGTGCTTACTGAACAACCTCACGTCAGTAAATTCGGAGGGAAATAACTTAGTTGCAAAAAATGTTTATTGCATAAACAATTAAGCAATAGTTGCTATTATAAAATACAACCTGCGGCGTATGTGCAAATGAACCTAGTCGAACTAACATAATGTAGTAATAGGTTGTTGCTATTAAATGACTTGAAAATTTGACAGCTGAAGTTTGTTAAATTCGATAAGTTTTATGAACGAAACTGAGTGCATATACTACACGTAACACCCCTCAAACCTTTGAAATAAACACAAATATGGTAGAAAAATGGAGATGGTTTTCATAAGCAATTTAAAAATAGATGCGCTAAAACGACTGTGCTAGGTGATATTCTGCATGGAACTACCAATGAACAGACACATTACAAAAGTTGCCTTCATTCCGCTATCACTAAAACATCAAATATCATTACTTTATTGGTCGCCCTAAGTTCATGATCGCTTTACATTGTGTCATGCAATCGGCTGGTCAGTCTTCAGTGTGTCTGCTGAGTTATGTCTTTGAAACAGTAATAGCAGAGATAATCAGTTTTCCGACGGATAATAGTATTATCAGGGTCTTCTAACTTTTGCGCATTTTTTATTGTAAAAACGTAAATTTGTCTTTCAAGAGAATAAAACCTCGTCTACGACGACGAACGTTTAAGCGTTAACTCGAGTTAGCGATTATGGTAGCGTCTACACGACAACACCCGATACGATTATTACGCGATTTTATTATGCATGCGTGCGTGCGTGTGGAATGTAAACGTGCGTGCGCGGCGTGTGGCAACGTATACGTGCGTGCGTGCGTGCGTGCGTACGTGTACGTACACGTGCGTTCGTGCGTGCGTGTGCACATACACGTGCGTGCATGCGTGAAGTGCGTACATGTGCGTGTTGCACGTACACGTGCGTGCGTGCATGTGCACGTACACGTGCGCGCGTGTGCAGGTACCACGTCGTGTGTGCAGGTACACGTGCGTGCAATGCGTCCGTGTGTGTGCACGTACACGTGCGTGCGTGTGCAGGTACACGTGCGTAGCTGTGCATGTATACGTGCGTGCGTGTGCATGTACACGTGCGTGCGCGTGCATGAGTGTGTGCGTGCGTGCGCGCCGTGTCCAGGTAGCACGGTGCGTGCGCGCAGTGTGCATGTGCACGTAGGCCGTGCGTGCGCACGTAACACGTGCGTGCTGAGCGTGTGCGTGCGTGTGTACGTACATCGTACTAATGCGGCCGCCTATCGTGGAGTTTAAGCTAACTCGAGTTAAGCGTCTACACGGGCCTAACTCGAGTTAGCCTTAACCTCGATCGACTGGCGAGGTTAAGCTAACTCGAGTTAAGGCCCCGTGTAGACGCTTAACTCGAAGTTAAGGTTCGTCGTGTAGACGTAGCTAAAACGATTAGAAGACCCTTGACGAGATTGCCACGATAACATCGAATCTAGGTATTGCTAACGTGGCATTTTCATTGAAGCTCTTGAAGCTAATCGAGTGAGAATCACACCTTCATAAACTAACACAGGCCTCTTTTCGTAATATTTTCTAACACTTCTAACCTGGAGTAGCCACGATTCTTCCATATCCAGGGTAATACACCTCATTCTTTATACCCTCCTAGAGCTTAACGGTGCTCCCTGCCAACTGAACGGCGGGGAAATTTGTTTTTGTGAATTTTAACAATTTCAACAGGCGAGCTGTGTTGTCACCAGAAGATAGCAGAAGGGCTTAGCTAGGAACCACGTAAAACAGCTAAATGCCATTCACGCATGCAAGTAGCAAGGCGTTATATATGTAGGGGCATCAACATAAATTTCATTCAAGAAGAAATGAGAGAGAAGAGCATAAGAACAACATATATATATATATACTAGCTATTACCCGTCCCCCAGACGGTTTGAGTGAGGTCTGATTTGAGGATGGCGGTTTAACCATTTATCTCTCACTTTTAGTGAAGACGTTACATTTCAGTAAACGAAAAATACTGATATTTAGACTCGAGTCATATATCAACTATTTTACCTTAAAATTACCTACAATTTTTCAACAAAAAGGAAAATGGGGTGATTTTATAGTACAATTTCACTTATTTAGATTAATTATTTTTGAAAATATCATTCTGGTTAGAAGCATCATGAATAAGTCAAATTCTTAAAAAAAAAAAAAAAATGCATTGCAGTAGTTTTGAAGATCTATTTTCTTGAAAGTCAGTGGACGGCGGCGGCAGGGTTACACCCTCCCGTTTCAAATATTTGCACACACACGCGCACACACACACATCACACACACGCCGCGCGACGCGGCGCACACACCGCATTCACACACACACACATACACGCAACATGCACATGCATACATACATACACACGCCAGCGCAGCACGCACACGCACACACGGACGCGCACACACACATACACATACACACAACTGAAGCAGTCTCTCGTTGGGGTTTTGTTCTAATTTTTCGCTTCACAGCTGTGCGCGCAGTGATTGGCTGTTTATACACCGCCAGCGCAATGGCTTTGGTGTGTGCGTGTGCGTGCGTGCGTTTAGTGTGGCTTGCTATGCTAGGTGAAGGCTTCCACCTAATTAAATGTTTATTATTATACCTTTAATCTACATTTAGTATAGCTATATTATCATTAAAACCCGTGAGAAAACACATTAATAGTTTAACATAGTGGTTACCATGGTGGTGGTTTAAGTTATAGTTATGGTATGTATAGTGTGGTATGTGTGTGTTCTTAGACAATCGAAACGGCGTCTAAAATTGTCAGAGCGCAGTGAGCCGGTAAGCGCAGGCACGCGTTACACCTCCCGTTGTCAAATGTTTGCACACGCGCGCACGCAACGCACACACCGTATTACACACATATACGACATGCGCACGCACACTCATACCACATTTACACACACACCGGGGCGCGCACACCACATACACACCCGCACGCGCGACGCACGCACGCACGCACGCACGTCACACGACGCAGCGCACGCACGCACCACACACACACACAACATACACACATACAACTGTAGCCGTCTCTCGTTGGGTTTCTGTAATTTTCGCCTCAACAGCTGTGCGCGGCAGTGCTTCGTTTTTATACCGGAACACCGCAGCCGCAATGGCTTTGGTGTGTGCGTGTGCTGCGCATGCGGATTGGCGATCTTAAAAATTTGGTGGCGGGTTTCCGATGAATGCCGAAGTTTGTTCGGCGCACATAACTTTTTAGAAAATTGCCTCAAAAAAGTGACTTTACCATCGAAAAATCGCGTTCTAACGTAGCGGAATGGTATTCGGGACGCTCCAAAAGGGGCACGCAGCTTGATTCGCGTGAGAATACGTGGCACGGTTCTGAGGGAGATACGGAAAACGACACTTCAGGCTCTTTCTACTATTATAGAGAGTATATATATATATATATATATATATATATATAGCTTATATATGTAGGGGCATCAACATAAATTTCATTCAAGAAGAAATGAAGAGAGAAGAGCATTCAAGAAGAGCATAAAAGCATACATTCTAGTTTTCCCATCTATACTGATTGTTTACAGGTATAACATAGAACAATCTAGCAAAAAGCATGAAAATGTCGCAAATCTATTTATTGCATTTAGCCGCACTTGCAGAGAGGTTTGTTTTGATGAGCTAATTTAAGATGGTTACTAATTATATCGGCATCGTATATAGAATAATGGGCACAGCCCACACCACCTAAATCAACAACCAGTGCTCTTCCAGACCGCCAGCACTGTGTGTTGTATCGTATACTGTAGCCTAGAACAATTATATAAAGATTAAGGGGTTAGTTATGCTTTAAAGTATAATGATGAAAACCCACTCATTGAATGATTGGTGAAAAACTTTTTACCCGAGCAGCCTGCTTTGCATTTTCAATTAATAATCTCTGACCGTATAACCATATTTACATGTAGAGTACTTAGTGATAAAAAGTGTGTATGCAGGCACGTGGGTGATACTCTAGATATTTCTGGCAAAATATAAAATAATGTAATCTGTCAAATCATGAGTGAACAGGTCCGAACATTTTTTACACATAAGATAAAATACTTACACACTTAAAATATAATGACATTTGCTGTGCTCTACAATAATAATTAGCAACAATTAATAGCACAGCAACCACAAAGTAAATAATTCATTAATTCACACACAAACTGCTTTCCTCTTTACTGAGCTTGCAGGTCTTCTGGGAGCAACTCTCACGTGTCACTCGGTAGCTTTCGACCTCTCAGGTTTGACAGCATAGGAGACCTAGTTAGGTGCCTCACGCTTAGCTGCGATGGCGAGGAAAACTTACTGTAGTACGCTTTTGGTGTAACTGTGGACCCAGTAGGTGGTGTACAAGACAAAACCTGCATTTCACATACAGGTTTAAGAGTTTCTGCAGCTTGCCACTTCATCTGGGATTCAGACAGGGTATCAATGACCACTTCATTGCAGCTCTGATGCCGACTGATGGAAGACCTCGCCTCAATTTTGCTTAGCAATGGAGGGGAGTGTGAGGATAACACAGAATCCGAAAGAAAAACGTCATCCTGTTCAACAGCCACATCTACCTCAGTGTCACGGGAACTGCTAGTCAGTGGAGACTGCATGCTGCTATTGTTAGACAGGCGGGTAGCGGAGCCACGACGACATCGTGTGCGTTTTGTGCATGGACTTCCAAAGCCAGCGTCATCACTGCAGCGCTTGACTCCACCAGAGCCCACGTGGGATAATGTTGAAACAAGGCTGGCGCAAGGAGACAGCACCTGTGACATGCTGTTTTTGCACGGGGAGCGAAGTGAGAGCATGTGGTATTCTGCTGGCGTTATCATTGTCTCCCTGGAAAGATTGCGTGTGAACCTCATAGGTATCAGCGCCTGTACAGCTGTCTTTCTCCCAGAGCATTTTGTGCTGAAAGACACTTTTCTAATTCGTTGTGAACTTGATGACACTTGTGATGTGTTAGTAGGTACCTTGCTGACATGTACTCCATTGCTTTCTGCAAATATGCTATCCCCTTGTTTAACGTGATCGCTGTATGTGCGAGCTTCTGCCTTTTGAGTTTTACTCATAATAATAGAGTCTTCCTTGCCCTCCTTATCAGTAGTAGCTTGCTCTACACATGCATTAGTTACAGCCGTTTGCATTTCTGCAGCTAAGGTAGCCTTGCTTCTGCCTGGTGACAGGATCTTATCACAGAGGAGCAATGAAAATTCTTCATCTTTTAAATCATATCCCAGGTTTTCAAATTTTGGGAATGATATTCCCATGTAGTCCTTTTCCTGGTCTTTTGTTGTTTTTCGTGTTCTCGGTGATTTGGAGACACTACCTCGCAATACTGGACATTTGTAAGAGTCAGATGGCTGGTCACAGCATCCCGACGATGTGGAAAGTACTTTCTGTGGAGTAACCTCTGCGGAAGAGGGACGAGACTTCGGTGTTGGTGTTGTCCAGCGGTGCTTGCGTTTTGGCCAGTGGTCTGACAATGTTTCTGGAGTTTTGTTTTCCCCACATAGACTCTTTCTTCGTTCAGGTGTTACAGTGTTTGATTCATGCTTGTTCCATGCAGGTGTCTGATCTACTTTGGCCTGCAGCAAGTATGATTGATATTCACTGTTCACTGTGCTGCACTGCTCTTCGTCAGTACTAACACTTTCATGCATTCTGCTAGAACGATGCGTCACGTGAGGCATATCTTCGAAATCGGTTTCTGCATTCATAAAGGAACGAGGAGAGTCATGATCAGTGTAAAATGCAGTTTCACTGGCAATCGAATGGGATGTGCTGTGACTCGGAAGTTGCTTTGTTGAAATCTCACACATTGCCTTCTGTCGACTTTTGCTGCGCCTTGTTAGCACCGGTTGCTCCCAACTGGCAGCAGCTAATGTTGATATATCATTGAAGACAGCTCTATCCGTGCTATCCGAAATATCACCAATCTGCGTATTTTCGAGGTGCGGCAGTTTTGATGGTGAAAAAAATAAGCGAGCTCTTGCTGAGATGATTTTATCTGACTTTGCTACTGACACATTCCGATTGTTTGATAATATTGGCGATGATCCTTCCATGCTTCTAGAACGGGGTGGTAATGACAGGTTCTCTTTAGGGCTGACAATTGATTTGGACCTTGTGCATTTACTAGGGGTAAGGAGATACAGCATTGGGCCTACTGGATCCAAAGCAGAGCTTTCCTTCAACCCATTATCAGGACATGAGCCAACAATAGAGGAATCCAGCTTACATTTGGAAGAACCAAACAATTCTGCTCTGGCTAAAGAACCCATATTTTTGTCTGGTGATACAAACAGCTTTCCCCGTACACGAACAATTTCCTGATGTGACTGTTGCACTGAACTATTCCGCGTTGGGAGCACTTCCGTGTAATAAGATTTTCCCTTTCGTGAATGCGACGCTCCTATTGCCTTCCTCTTACGTGTTGGACTGAGACTTGTAAACAGGAAGTCAGCAGCAGACTTGCGCCTCAGTTGCCATCTTGCATCTTGAGCGACTACCGATTCATTTTGTGATTCCTTGTTGGTCTTCATTGGCGATTCTTGTATTCCCGTGCCTCCTGCTTCTGTGCATAATGTCATAGCTGCATCTGCCACTGCACTCTGTTCAGCTATGGTACAGCTACGAGAGCGTGATGATTGCGAGTAAAAGGACGAGTGACACTTTAGCACTGCCATTTTCTTAGGACTCGCATGAAGCACTGCATGAAAGAAACAAGGGGGCCAACATCAGTGATATGGCACGTCTATTGTAATAATTAGTGCTAATAGAACACGTAGGTAAAATTACCGTTGAGACTAATATTACAAATAATATATTTGTTGATGACCACAAGGTTATTTACTAAACCCTGCCCAAACTCTCAATTTAGAACTCGGAAAAACCAGAAGCATCCTAATAAAAGATAAAACAAAATTTGTAGTCATCACTTCAATTGCTCAGACAAAACACAGACACTGGACACTGGACATGCCCTCCTCTCACGATCGGTAACAAAAAATTAGTGAAAAATGATGACGCTGTCATTTATCAACATTTCAAACATCTTTTTTACACATTGTTTTTCTGAGTTAGTGGTACATCATGCGCTCACATGGCTTCTCTGGAGACTCTTCTACAACAAGAGCTTCTGGAAGAGTGTTGGTTCTCTTGCGCTGCCTCTCAAGCCGGTTCCACACGACCCGTCCAACTTGCCTGTGTCGAGGTGTGTCCGACACCAATCGTGTCTTCAATGTGTGTTGCGCACCTGTAACCAAACAGAGATGTTCTATTTCATGCCAATGCGAGTAAAGTCACACCTTATTTAATGGACACGATTCATTCCTTAGGCTTCTTTACTGAGCAAAACAACCTGTAAGATTGGTTATTATAACATGATGCTGATATGTACCCTTCACATCCATCATCATAGCCACTGGAAAATCATACACCCACACTAGTCTGAGGTGAGCGCGACACATGCTGCCTACATAGTGCCCGTGTCCGTGCACAAAACAAAAGCCATTAATAAAATAATTCAATACAAAGTGATATTAAATTCACAATTATGTAGCATGTGTTTATTAAATATATTTTATTATATTATAAAACATTTACCATGTTTAATAAACGAAACTAATTTGGCCAACACTTTCTCAACAGGTATGGCAGTAAGCAATTTGTCACTGCCACCTATGTTTTAGAACATGTAAAAAAGCAATAGTGGTTTGCGAATATTTAATAGTTAAGGCACACTGCTTTAGGTTTATTTGAAGAAAAAGCTTAGTGGGTCTATATAAACTCGTTCAAATATGATATCGACTGTTCTCATGTAAAAAAAATTTGGAAATTGTATAGTGTTGAAATTCGATTGTAATTATTATGTCCTAATGGAAAAAAAAGTGATACCTGAAGATCTGCAAGGTGTTTTCTTAGGTGTTACGTTTGGCATTTTCCTTGGACTCGGTTTTCTCATTTCAGATGCGAGTTCACCTATCAGGTTGCGACGTACTTTCTTCTCGTTTTTTCTATCACCTGTATTGATAAATTATAGCACACAGATCACATTTCTAGTAACATTACAATGCTAGTGAAACTGTGAATGCATAAAACGTAAATACATATTATCAGGAGTCTATCAATATTGATAGACTCCTGATATTATACTCAAGCTTGTATGTGTATACATGCAAGCATGCACAGTGCGGGTCAGGTAATGTTTACCTTTCTTCTCAATTACACTTAGACTGCTGCTCCTCTGCTTCAATGTGTCTTTCCGCTGGACATACAAAGTTCAGAAAAAATTGCACATTAACGTTTTCCCAAGCTGGGAGTCAACACAATATTTTATGTAAAATTCGTTCAATTAGATGCCTGGTCAGGCCCCGAGTCTCTGACAGTGGTATTTTGCACCATGTTCTCAATGAAGATCTTTTTACATGAGTGTTCCTTGATTAATATAGATGATTCCACACAGAAAAGCTCTCTATTTTTTCTTGTGCTACTGACTTTAATTAAGCAACCTAGATGTTCAACATAAAATAACCATCTGAACATGGAGTCCGTGCTAATTCACATATATAAGTAGGTAAAAAGCCATACCGGTTGTGCTATGACATGATAGCTACACGGAATTCATAGTTGTTGCTGAGTAGTATTATTACCATGCGCTCCTTGTTGGTGTGAGCTCGACGAGGAATAGCAATCTGCCGTTGAGAGCTTTCCATTAAACTTGGGTTTCTCACAAACGATCTGCTCCTGCGGCACATAATGACAGTCATGGTTTTACAAGCAGTGTTCAGATGACATTTATATTTGGCTTGCACTACACTTTTACAATGTCACAATGGAGGACAAAAGGAGTGGCACCTTTCCTAAGTACTTTTCATGTGTGTGTATTCTTGTAAACAATGTTAGGTTACTCTACACCTTTTGCATGGCTATTGCTCTAATGAAGATTAAACGTTTATTGACGAATGAACCGAATCAATCACACGTTTTATTTATAGAGGAGATATATCTCTATGCTCAAACCAAAAAATTTCATGAAATTTCCAGCACCTAATTATGTTACCATACAAATTTTGAATATTTATGTAAAATGGTATTTTGGATATTTCTCAATTACCACAAAGAGTAAGGAAGCAACGTTTTTGCCACAGGTCAAGCACAATATGTACCAAAACAGCGCATCAGGATTTTATCATGCGATTCTACAAGCTGCATCTGACTGTCAGATGAGCTAAAAAGTGGACGTGGCTCGAATGTAGGTCAACTGGCGTGCTCCAAAATAGGACGTTCAAACCTCTCCCATAGGAGTAACAACTATATGCAATTTGAAACATGTGGGTCAAACGGTTCGAGTTATCGTTGACCGTAGCCAAATCTTGACGGACGAACGGACGGACGACACCGCATATGGCAATAGCTCATCTTGACGATGTCAAGCTGAGCTAAAAACTAGGGTCTCCGGAACGGAATTTCCCAGTCCCACGTTCTCTTGCTGGTCCCTACCTGAACAGTTCATTAATCAGTGCTGCCACACATCAAAGAAACACTGCAGGAATGTGGCAACCTCCTCTACTATTGCTTTGTGCCTTCACCAACCCCGTATTCAACCCTACCACCTCCCTTGTGATTTTTTTTAGAGAAAACACTGGTGTAATCTCGCTATGATTTTGTATATAATAAAAAAGTATGTTTATTTTTCTGCAACTAAAATGCTGTGCTTACTGAAACCTCACGTCAGTAAATTCGGAGGGAAATAATTAGTTGCAAAAATGTTTAATTGCATAAACAATTAAGCAATAGTTGCTATTATAACATACAACCTGCGGCGTATGTGCAACTGAACCTAGTCGAACTAACTAATGTAGTAATAGGTTGTTGCTATTAAATGACTGAAAATTTGACAGCTGAAGTTTGTTAAATTCGATAAGTTTTATGAACGAAACTGAGTGCATTATACACGTAACACCCCTCAAACTTTGAAATAAACACAAATAGGTAGAAAATGGAGATGGTTTTCATAAGCAATTTAAAAATAGATGCCTAAAACGACTGTGCTAGGTGGTATTCTGCATGGAACTACAATGAACAGACACATTACAAAAGTTGCCTTCATTCGCTATCACTAAAACATCAATATCATACTTTATTGGTCGGACCTAAGTTCATGATCCTTTACATTGTGTCATGCAATCGGCTGGTCAGTCTTCAGTGTGTCTGCTGAGTTATGTCTTTGAAACAGTAAATAGCAGAGCTAATCAGTTTCCGACGGATAATAGTATTATCAGGGTCTTCTAACTTTTGCATTTTTTATTGTAAAACGTAAATTTGTCTTTCAAGAGAATTAAAGCCTCGTCTACACGACGAACGTTTAAGCGTTAACTCGAGTTAGCGATTATGTAGCGTCTACACGACGAACCTCAACTCGAGTTAAGCTAACTCGAGTTAGCGATTATGTAGCGTCTACACGACAACACCCGATAGCGATTATTACCGATTTATTATGCATGCGTGCGTGCGTGTGAATGTAAACGTGCGTGCGTGCGTGTGCAACTGTATACGTGCGTGCGTGCGTGCGTGCGTACGTGTACGCTACACGTACGTTCGTGCGCGTGCGTGGTGGCACATACACGTGCGTGCATGCGTGAAGTGCGTACATGTGCGTGTTGCACGTACACGTGCGTGCGTGCATGTGCACGTACACGTGCGCGCGTGTGCAGGTACACGTGGTGTGCAGGTACACGTGCGTGCAATGCGTCCGTGTGTGTGCACGTACACGTGCGTGCGTGTGCAGGTACACGTGCGTACGTGTGCATGTATAGTGCGTGCGTGTGGCATGTACACGTGCGTGCGCGTGCATGAGTGTGTGCGTGCGTGCGCGCCGTGTCCAGGTAGCACGGTGCGTGCGCGCAGTGTGCATGTGCCACGTAGGCGTGCGTGCGGCACGTAACACGTGCGTGCTGAGCGTGTGCGTGCGTGTGTGACGTACATCGTACTAATGGCTGGCCGCCTATCGTGGAGTTAAGCTAACTCGAGTTAAGCGTCTACACGGCCTTAACTCGAGTTAGCTTAACCTCGATCGACTGGCGAGGTTAAGCTAACTCGAGTAAGGCCCCGTGTAGACGCTTAACTCGAAGTTTAAGGTTCGTCGTGTAGACGTAGCTTAAAAGATTAGAAGACCCTTGACGAGATTGCCACGATACAATCGAATCTAGAGTTATTGCTAACGTGGCATTTTCATTGAAGCTCTGAAGCTAATCGAGTAGAATCACACCTTATAATACTAACACAGGCCTCTTTTCGTAATATTTTCTAACACTTCTAACCTGAGTAGCCACGATCTTCCATATCCAGGGTAATACACCTCATTCTTTATACCCTCCTAGAGCTTAACGGTGCCCCTGCCAACTGAACGGCGAGGGAAATTTGTTTTTGGAATTTTAACAATTTCAACAGGGAGCGTGTTGTCACCAGAAAGATAGCAGAAGGGCTTAGCTAGGAACCGACGTAAAACAGCTAATGCCATTCACGCATGCAAGTAGCAAGGCGTTATATATGTAGGGGCATCAACATAAATTCATTCAAGAAAGAAATGAGAGAGAAGAGCATAAGAACATACATATATATATATATACTAGCTATTACCCGTCCGCCCAGACGGGTTTGAGTGAGGTCTGATTTGAGGATGGCGGTTTAACCATTTATCTCTCACTTTTAGTTGAAGACGTATTTCATAAACGAAAAATACTGATATTTAGACTCGAGTCATATATCAATATTTTACCTTAAAATTACCTACAATTTTTCAAAAAAAGGAAAATGGGGTGATTTTATAGTACAATTTCACTTATTTAGATATTATTTTTGAAAATATCACTTCTGGTTAGAAAGCATCATGAATAAGTCAAATTCTTAAAAAAAAAAAAAAAATGCATTGAGTAGTTTTGAAGATGCTATTTTCTTGAAAGTCAGTGGACGGCGGCGGGCAGGGTTACACCTCCCGTTGTCAAATATTTGCACACACACGCGCACACACACACATCACACACACGCGCGCGCACGCGGCGCACACACCGCATTCACACGACACACACATACACCAACATGCACATGCATACATACATACACACACGCGCAGCACGCAGCACCACACGCACAGCACGGGACGCGCACACACACATACACATACACACAACTGAAGCAGTCTCTCGTTGGGGTTTGTCTTAATTTTTCGCTTCACACAGCTGTGCGCGCAGTGATTGGCTGTTTATACACCGCCAGCGCGCAATGGCTTTGTGTGTGCGTGTGCGTGCGTGCGTTTTAGTGTGGCTTGCTATGGCTAGGTGAAGGCTCCACCTAATTAAATGTTTAATTATTATACCTTTAATCTACATTTAGTATAGCTATATTATCATTAAAACCCGTGAGAAAACACATTAATAGTTTAACATAGTGGTTACCATGGTGGTGGTTTAAGTTATAGTTATGGTATGTATAGTGTGGTATGTGTGTGTTTCTTAGACAATCGAACGGCGTCTAAAATTGTCAGAGCGCATGTGGGAGCCGGGTAAGCGCAGGCACGGTTACACCTCCCGTTGTCAAATGTTTGCACACGCGCGCACGCACGCACACACCGTATTTACACACATATACGGGCATGCCGCACGCACACTCATACCACATTTACACACACACGGCGCGCACCCACATACACCCGCAGCGCGACGCACGCACGCACGCACGCACGGTCCACACGACGCACGCACGCACGAAACAACGCACACACACACACAAGCCACACACACATACAACTGTAGCCGCTCTCTCGTTGGGGTTTCTCTTAAATTTCGCCTCACAGCTGTGCGCGGCAGTGCTTCGTTGTTTATAGCCGGAACACCGCCCGCAATGGCTTTGGTGTGTGCGTGTGTGCGCATGCGGATTTGCAGATCTTAAAAATTGGTGTGCGGGTTTCCGATGAATGCCGAAGTTTGTTCGGCGCACATAACTTTTTAGAAAATTGCCGCAAAAAGTGACATTTACGCATCGAAAAAATCGCGTTCTACTACACGTAGCGGAATGGTATTCGGGACGCTTCCAACAAGGGGCACGCAGCTTGATTCGCGTGAGAATACGTGCGCCACGGTTCTTCGAGGAGATACGGAAAACGACACTATCCAGGCTCTTTCTACTATTACTATAGAGAGTATATATATATATATATAGTATATATAATATATCAGCCTTATATATGTAGGGGCATCAAATAAATTTCATTCAAGAAGAAATGAGAGAGAAGAGCATTCAACGAAAATGCATAAAGCATACATTTCTATTTTTCCCATGCTATAGCTGATGTTTAATCAGGTGATAACATAGAATCAATCTAAGGCAAAAAAGCATGAAAATGTTCGCAAATCGCTATTATTGCATTTAGCCGCACATTGCAGAGAGTTTCGTTTTGAAAAATGAGCGGCAATTAAGATGTTACTAATGATATCGCATCCGGATATAGAATCAATGGGCAGGCAGCCCACACCACCGTACAATCAACAACCAGGTGCTCTCCAGACCGCCAGCACTGTGTGTCGTATCGTATACTGTGCCTAGAACAAATTATATAAAGACTTAGGGGTTAGTATGCTTTTAAAGTATAGATGATGAATAACGCCACTCATTGAATGATCGGTGAAAAAATCTTTTTACCCCGAGCAGCGCTCTTTGCAATTTGTCAATTAAGAGGATCTCTGACC